AATCCAGTCGAAAAACCACCAAGTTTTTACCGTAAAAATTCATAAAAAAGCACTCGATTCATCGGACAATAAACGATATATATTACCCAATAATGTAGTTGAAACTTTGCCTTGGGGTCATTATAAAATTGTCAACGAATGAAAAATATATAACTTTTTTTTCATAAGAAGCTGATTCTGTATGTGTTGAAATATTTTCTTTTTTGTTATGATTTATAATACATATACCTGTAACCTATATTATCAATAAATAATCAACAAATTATGGAGGTTTTTTTTCTCTGATTTGTATGTTATAAATGGTGCATGCGAAATTTAGAAACACCACATACACTTCCTGTACACGGCCACACGCTTTGTGTTAAGAAAATTTGGGGACGCTCATTTGAAATATTTTGGTTCATTAATAAATTATGACCGTATTTAATGAGTCATTCCCTTGATTTTCCTAACACAGTGGTTGCAGGAAAAGGCCGACTCGGCGGCCCCTCCTCCACTCGAGGTCATACAAAAACACACGCATAAATACGATTGACAATACGCTCCATTCAGGGTCCCTGCGATAGTCGAGATGCCGAGGTGACGGTTAGCACGAGATCGGACGACGTTCGATTCCCGCATAAAGACGAGGAAAAAAAACTTTTTTTCATAAATTTAAAAATTGAGCGCCGCGCGATACAGCGGTGGCGCCATCTTCCATCCTGCGCGCGCACCACACACACCTCTCCATTACAACAATAAGCGAGAGCGAGACGACAAACAGGGATCCAAAAACGCCACGTGTTAGACAAGGAGAGCGATACCGTTTCAGTAGACCGGAAGTCCATAAGATTTACACGGAGCTTGTGTGACGTCAGCCCCATTTATTAACTACTCACCAAAAAACTTGGAACGATGTTTAATTTGTTTTAAGGTACTGATACTATAGGGCAGTGGTTCGCAAACTGGGTGCCGTGAAAATTTTATAATAATTTTAATAAATATAAGCACAAAACCAACTTTAAAAAATAATAATTAATGATCTGATTTTATTAATATAGTACAACTGTTCAGTAATGGAAAATGTGTTCTGAACATGTTAATTTTCTTCATACTGAAGTAAGATGGCTATCTAAAGGCCGTGTTCTTTCTCGATTTTGGGAATTCAGAAAACAGATATAAACGTTTTTTGAATCAGAAAATATTGAACAATTTTTTGACCTCCTTCAAGACCACGTTTGGTGTGTAAAACTAGCATATTTAACTAATATTTTTGAATACTTAAATAAAATATGTAAATTCAAGTATGCAAGGTAGAAATGAAAAAAATTTGGCTTCAAAAGACAAGCTTAAATTATGGAAAAAATATTTATAAAACAATCTTAACAACAATTACTTATTATACAATCATGTGATAAAGTGTTTTTGATAATAAATTAGTTACAATTAAAACTGTTCCTGGAGGGGTGCCGCCAAATTTTGTTTAATATTTTAGGGTGCCATCAATAATAAAAGTTTGCGAACCACTGCTATAGGGCATCAAAATTAATTGAGAGGGTTGCCAAACCTGAACAAAAATAATTTGTTTATTAAGTTCTCGAAATATATTAGCTATTAGACTTGAAGTTCCAGATTTAAAATTTCAAAACGCAGTGGCTTTTCATTCAATCAACATTGATGACTCGTATTTTTGGATAACTTGAGTGAAACTTAATATTTATTACACAAATCGTACCTTGGAAGGATTCATTTGTAGCGGAATATATTTCGTCTAAAGGCAGGTCGTACGATTTTCTTCAAACAATTCAAATACGTTTTTTAATCCAAGACTTACCTATCATCCTAATGTGACTTTTAAAGATGTATTTTTCTCTAATTTGGATTTTGTTATCAAATTACAGTTAACCTTTTTCAGGAAAATATATCCAATGAAAATCAGACCATCCTTCTAAAAAGAAAGCTTTTTTGCTGTTTGCTTTATTCTTTCATAATTAATAATTATGAAATTAATATAACAAAAATATATTTTTGTTATTTTAATCCATTTTATGCTCAAGTATTGTAAAAAATAATGAACAAACACTTTCTTCCTTGTTATTGCCCATATTATAAAATATCATAAAATGGTTTATTTTTTATTTTTTTACTTTCCGAGCGCCTGTCTGTCAGTTGTTAGCAGTTTTATTACAGAGAATCTGAAATTATTGAACTAGTTGTTGAAATTTTATGTGTATTTTAGGACTATCATGTAGATAGCAAAATACTAGCCAAAACTTGTCTTATCAATCTTATCATCCTCAGCAACAATTTGATGACGAAATAACATGGGGTTTATGAATCCGCCTTTATATTTTACTTTGGATAACCCGATTTTCTGAAAACAAATCCCACTTGTGGAACAACATTTTACGAATTACCTTGGAAATTATAAAATCGAATTAAGGTTATTATGGACATGGTACCTATATTGTTAATGAAAATTTATCTCTTTATCCCCACAAAAATTTGATGTGGTTGTATCGAAATTTTACTATACCGGGTGACGCAAAACATTAATTAATGAAGCAATTAAAGCAAACACGGTTTGCCTTAATTTCCGGAGCTTTGGCAATATAGTAATATTAGTATAGCAGTTATCTATCTATCTATCTGAATTCATACTGTTCGACCTCACCACAAAATTTCATTACGAAAAACTCACTTAAAACACACGCATAGCATGATTTTTACATACTTTTTATTTTTTGCGATTCACACACAATTTTATTTTAACTTTTAAGGGAGTCATAATAAAACTGAATTTGTAAAGTCAAATTTTGTAACAGTTTATCTAAGAAACTGGAATTTGAGCCGCGGGAAGTTGTGTCTAAATAATTTTACATCAATTTTTTTAACGATAATTGTCAAAACATACAAGTGCATGACGTGCTGTCGCATGATGGTGCAGTCACGTGATCATATTGCAGTGGTCAGGACGACATGAACCGACTTATATAAAGCAATATAATTTACTCGACCTTCATTACCAGCATAATAGCGTATAAAATATAGCTCCTAGGGCCGGTTTATAGAAAAGCGAATTAAATATTTAATCCTTGATTAATTTAACAGAGGATTAAAGGTGGTGATTAGTTAAAACATGCCCGTTGCCTAGCAACGGACCTCAATTAATTTTTTTCCACCATATTCGAAATAAATGGACTGTACTGAGAATGTCGTCAATACTAAAGTGACCAAAAAAGAAAACCTTCAGTTGGTTTTTCATAATTGTAGATTCCAGCTGCAGTATTGGATCGTGTATTTGGAAATTTTAGGTAGATTCGGTACATTAAAGTTGTAAGAAAGAGCATCATCATGTCTGAAAAACCGACTCTGACAACACATTTTTTTAATATTTTATATGTCAGATTACTAAAAAGATATATTTATCCAAACAACTGCTTTCTCTGATCATCAAAAAAATTGCATTTTAAGAGATTTTTACTTCGTGAGCGTAAGCTAAGGAAATATAGTAATCAAGTCTCATGCCCCTAGAGAACGAAAATGTAGTCTCCCGTTTCCGTCTGTCTGTCTGTCTGGTGTCTGTATCGATTTGTATTAAAGACGTAATCTCCGAAACTACTCAACTGATTGTTGTCAAATATTTTATGTATATTAGGAATATCATGTAGATGGTAAAACGCTAACCAAAATTTGGTTAATCGTCGCCATCAACAATTTGATCACGTCATTTAAAAGAATTATATTTTAAAATTATTTAAATGTTATACAGTAATACTTATACTCCTATACGGCTAACTGTTCACAAAAAAAATAACACAGTATAAAAACATTTTACCACTAACTCAGAAGATAACCTTCCGTGGCCCTGCGATTAAGACGTCAGTATACGTACCAGCGGTCGCACGTTTGATGCCAAACTTGGCCGTTTTTTTTTCTCTTTTTCTCTCGTGCCGTGTATTATTTATGTTTATGACGTCGTAATAAATTTTTTACTGATCAAATTAACCCCATTTTCCTGAAAAGGTGGGAATACGCATGACATTCTGTTCAACTATGGCTTAATTAATAATTTCAGTCTTCTGTGTTGACGTAACAAACTCATTCAAATCAAACAAATTTCTACGTGACATTTTTCCTATGTAAGTATAAACAAACACTGGAAGTTTAAGATTGTTATTATTGCTGAGAGGCCATTTTTTCTGGTTGGTTATCTGCTTTAAATATATTTTACATTGTTCATGCTGCAATTTGCTGGTTTTTACTTTCTAGAGGTTATCATAAAACAAATATCACAGAATCTTTTTTTATAACTCTCCAAAGAAGCGTGATTTGTTAGGCCTGTACTTCAGGAGTGAGAGAAGTTCAACTAAATTTTCATCACCACTGTGAAAGTGAACACTGAAATTACCGAATAAAAGGAAATATTTATTTTTGATAATTAAAATTTTTAAAACTGCTGATTTTATTTCATCAAAAGTTTCTAATTCTCCTGAAGGAACTCTGTAAATCGATAAAACTAAAAAGGATGATTCTTCAATGGCTACAGTTTTGCAATGGATTTCTTTAGATAACTGACATACTCGGGTAACAGATTTGAAATTTTTTGTCATCTTATAGAGGCAGTCAGTACGTATAAAGCATCAGCCCTACGGCACGAAACTGATCTACAAAAGAAATATTTTAGAATAAAGCAACATAACGAGTAGACTGAAATTTCATCATTGATTGTTGTATCAGATATTCCAAAATAAAAACCAAAGTAGAAGAACGACATCTAAAAGTCGGCGTTTTTGCTCCAACGACCTAGCATTCGGACTGTGAATGCACCTTTCGTAGGTTGGCCGGCTCGCAACGAGGCCGCATCCAGTCCGTCCCTGTCCAGCCCTCTGCGGCCACCGTCGCAATTTGTAATTAATCGTATTTTTGCAGAATTAGGAATTCGCCTTCGGTCGCATCGGCGTCCCCTCTTCGTGGCGGTCCGTGAACGCATGCGTCCGTCCCAAGCACCTCTCGCACGTCGTTCCTTCGTCAGAATGCCAGATCGTGTTTCGGTCGCGAACGGGACGTGTGTGTCCGTCATGGCCGGCAACATCGTGGCCGAGTGGCTGCGATCCCTCCACCTGGGCCAGTACTCCGAGAGTTTCATCGACAACGGCTACGACGACCTGGAGATCTGCAAGCAGGTGGGCGACCCCGACCTCGACGCCATCGGCGTCTTCAACCCGGTGCACCGCAGCCGCCTGCTGCAGTCGGTGCGGACGCTGCGCGAGGAGGGCGCCGCCTCCGTCTACTTCACGCTGGAGGAGAGTGCCGCCGTCCACGAGGAGTGTTTGTGTGACAATGTGAGTGCGAGATCGTCGAGGACCTCGTCGGGTCGGTCGGAGAAGGAGGCGGGTGGCAGGAACACGCCCGCCGCCTCCGACAGCGGACAGGAGGTGGCAAAGTACTTGGACGAGTACGAGGAGGGCAAGGCCGAGCTGGTGAAAATCCCGAGGATGCAGCTGAAGATGCTACTACGGGAGAAACTAGCCCACGACGGGATCCGCTTGAGCTGTCAACCCTATTCGACTCCGGTGAGTGTTAGACACGTGACCGGCAGTTGCTGTTTGGGGGTATTTGGGGCACAAACTGTGTCTTCTTTTCTAAGCGACTTAAGTCATAGCAAACAATTGGCATTTTCTCCCAAAATTTATTACTTTATTGCAGTAGCATAAGGCCGTCTCAGAGCTTCGTTCAAAAATCGCGAATAGAAAGAGAGGGTTGTCGTGCTTTATCCACTAGGTCAATAAATCTCCCTAGACCCGCTGGTGGTTATTCAGATATTAGTTTAGTTATTTATTGTTTTGTCGGGCACGTCAATTTCGCTTGGAAAAGAATATTTGGGTTGCGATAGGCTGTCGGATGGGGCTGCGTGTTCTCGACTAGGTCGCAGTCCTACCTGGATGGCGAGTGTCTTTATGGATTGCCGAGTGTCTGACCTTTGCGCGACCGCTTTCTACTCGCAGCGGTGTCAGCTCAATGGAAAAATGGTTTGCAAAGACGGCATTTTTCAAAATGATTATATACTTTTTTATTTAGATTTATTAGAATTTGATTTATTTTTGAACGCACCCTACAGAAATATTTTTCTTTGTTCAATATGAGACACTGGTTTGCAGTTTTAACTGAAGAGCTGTCTGTTATGTGAGTACATTTTTATGCAAATTCGTAATATCAAACATTTTTCTGTTTAATTACTTTCATAAAAATTCTGGTGACGAACTCCACGCAGACATCGTCAAAAAGAGTCGTAATGATGACAATTGCTTGGAGCGAAATATTGATTTTAAAGGAATATATCAGTGAGCTTTTATTAAAATCAAAAATACGGATCCGTTAGACAAAGCGCACCGACAAAAAAAAAAGCTGTTCGAAGTAATATCAATCCAATCATACATTTTGAAATTGAAATAAGGTAAATAAAAGAAATAAATTGCTTGTCATCTTTATTCTCCTACAAGGGTTTAGTTTTGACTATGGAATGTAGACGAGATCTAAATCAACGATGCAACAATAAATAAAACAAATGTTCTCTGCTGAAAGCAGTTCGCAGTAATTTTAACAATGGATTTCATATACATACTTCCAACCAGTAATTTTTTATATCCACTTTTAATAGTCTGTATGTTCATTGTACTTTTTTTTAATTAAGATGTACGCGTCTAGGAGGAAAAATTTTACGAAATTGACACTACTACAGTTTCGACGTAGTCAGAAATTTTATTAGTGTTATAGAGCTATAGACTTTTTACCATGGTTTTTTAATTTATTCGCCAAATGCATTTAAAGACCTTGTGTAACATTTTAGTGGCAGTACGACAGGGTTTTTCTTGAATCCTCCTTACTTTTTCTCTGCGCTCAAAAAACCTTCAACTTAATTACAGAATTGTATATATACCCAACAATGCAACTCGTTAAAGATAGGAGGAAGTTGCACGCTAATTTTATTGTGCACTTGATTTTCTGTTTGTGAACTTGTCTCTGAATCTTGAAAAACTTAATTACAAGTACAACTACTGTTTCAGGCAAAAGCAACAAATAAAATATTTGTATTTTTCGCCGAGATTATATCTCAATTTCTAAGAATGTGGGCCATTTATGTAACGAAAACAACACAGTGCAGTATTTTCGTTGAAACTTATTTTCTAAAATGAGAGCGTATGTTATGAATAATAAAGTCAGAGTTTATTTACAATCGCATGCTCCGTCTTTATTGGTAATGAAAGTTTAATCAGTGTATTGATTTTCGTTAATTTATTAATTATTTACTGTAACTTTACCTTTTGGAATAATGTTCACAATGAAGCCATTGATCTTTTCCACATATTTTTGTTATCTGTGTTTGATTTAAACTTTTAGTAATATTTTAATTTGTCTAAAACTACAGGTACAGGTATTTGTTATTAAAAATATTAATTGTTATTATTAATACAAAGTTCTGGTTAATTACAAAATCGTAAGTAAAACTACTATGATCATAAAAATTACACGGTAGTTGTAATTCTAAGAGAGGTCTGTACCCACTAAATACGTTTGTATTTTAAAACCCAAAGACATATAGGAGACGTCTACAAGTTAAGTTGTGAATATTTTAATTGATTTAAAAAAAAAAAGCGAAAAAGGAAAAATTGAGCCCGAGTTCGAAAATTTCCAGAAAATGCGACGCTGAGCTTCGAAAAATTTCGATCGAGCTGGTTAAGAGATTTTTCGCTCATGTTACATACAACATTTTTTCTACGACTTTTTTTGTCAAATTTAACCGTTTTGTTACAAATAGAAGTAGAAGCTGATGTTAATATTCGCGTCATCGTTTAATCTTGTTTGTCTATGAAGTTATCAACATAACTTTTTGCCACTGTTGATGACTTTCAGTCACAGTGCCTTTTTATTTGCAGCAGCTTCGCACTGGTATCGGCCAACATTGTCGCTGAAGTCTTGCGGAAGCAATGACCCGGCCTGTAAATAAAATAGGACTATCTAAATTTAAATTAAATAGCAATTATTTGAGAAAAACGGCCAAATGTGTTGGAGCCAATGATTCAATAGAAAAAGGTTAGAGTAAACTCTTTAAAATATAACAAATGATTACGGTTCTTATAGAAAATTTTTATCTGCTACTTATTTAAGAAATTTTATAACTTGATTTCTTAACAAAGTTTGCGAGTTTTTTGCTTAATATCCAGTGTTTTTGAAAATATAAACGTACCGTAGATAGAGCAAAGTGTTTCATAATTTTTTTATTTGCTAGCTTTTCCACTATTTCATCAATATCTCCTATTTGCGACAACTAAATCATTAAACATTACTTTCGAGGACTTTGAAAATATGTAACTATTTTCAAAAAAAGAGCAAATTTGACGCGGCTGTTGATTAGTTGGTATAGTACCTAACAAATATACAGTGTACCTAATTAAAAATGTGGTCAAGAGTATTACGTCACCAGCTTTGTTTTTTCCGTATGTCGTTTCCGAAATGAATTTTGAAACTGTCATCCACTTGTCACATCGATTTTTGTAAATTAATAACCTTTGAACTGAGTTTGACATCGCCATGACAAGACATCGCCATGACAACTGTCTACGACGAAAAAACTATAAAATTGTTTGTTGTTTTACTTTTGGAGTATGTAGATGAGCTTGATTAGAATTATTATTTTTGACGTACCTATGTCACCCAGGTGAAAAGCGAAGAATACCTTAATTTTAAGTAAAAAGAACAACATTCGATTATGTGACAACTATTTCATAGTTACAAAATTGTGTACTTTTTGCAAAACTATAGATTTATTAGTACTACCGACATATTTGCTTGAGGTTCGCTTATTTGATGGATCGTGTGTAAGTTTTCAGGTAAAAATATGATACCTCTGTACACAGTCGCAAAAAAATCAAAAATCAATTACATATTTCAAACAAAAATAATAATTCTTTGGATTTTTTTTGTTTTTTAGTTTTTCAGTTATTTGAAATGAAAACTCAAAAAGTAGCAAGAAAAATCGAGAGTTTAATTATGGTTACTCAGTTCTTGATGGGGCTTTATCTTTAATTAAATTATTGTAATTTTCATTTTCATGTTTTAAGACACATTCCCAAGTATGCGATTCTGTGACACGTCTGAATCGTGTTTCTGTGAGTTCTGAGCAATAAAGAGAATTTATTTTCATTCACATTGCTAAATGCAGAGCTTTCGTTACCAAAATTTGATATCTAGTATAGACCCTGGATTTTTAAAATCAGTTGGTACTTTTTGCGTATCAATGCGCACTGCTGCCTAACTTAATCAATAACAACAGACGACACAGTCGAGAGAAGACAAACTTGCAGACAGAAATGGAATACCTATTTTTGCATTTCTTAAGAATCATAAAAATTAAAAGAAAATTAGCGTTTCATTTTGTTGGTATTAATTTATTCTAGTTAGTGCTCAATTTGATTTGATTTAAAGCTGCATTTAAAAAAGCCCAAAAGATATCTATTCGTGATTCATATTTTCGTAATTTGAAAACAAAAAATGATTTAAATAATTAAAAAAATCGCTTGTTTCAAATTAAATCAAATAGTGCAAAGAAAATTATTTTTTCAGATGCTTAATCTAAAACATAACGTGAAAATCAATCAATATTGACTAATGATTTCAATATTACCTAACATAATGTTTATTTGCTTATACAAATCATAACTGAAAAGCTGTATCAGCAGAAGAAATCACTTTTCATTGTGTCGAAGGTATTGAATAATACAACACAGTAATTTTCATTGCAAACGTGATTTCTGAAAGGAAAGAACAATGTATTATTTATGAATATTAAAGACGTCCATTTACATGGTAGTTACAGCAACAAATTGTGATGGTTGCACGTACCGGTTTTCTTCAAATCAATTTCTTATGTTACAAGTTTATGTTACACGGAAAAATTCAAAATCCAGCAGTTCTGAGATGGTAAGGTGACTTTTTTCGATAATGTGCTAGTTAATTACATTGCTTTTTCCTTGAGTTCATTAATGATATTTTAGTATTGTAGCTATCAATATGTCGAGACATGCAGCGAGACCACTTAAATTTTTTCTTTTTTTGGCGTACCTCCAAGGAAAACAACAGAAACGTAATTAAAGGACAGAACGTGTATGCTTGCATTAGGTTTTTTGAAAGTTTATTCTTTGAAGAACGACGAAGGAAAAAATTATGTAAAAATAACGTTACACTTTACACAAATGCTTTAAATACCACATGGATCAACGCACTCTTCAGTAAGTTAATTTTATTGTTGTATTCCAGTGGCAGCTATACAAAAAACCTAATAACAAACGCTTATATTAGTATCCATATCTAAAAATTATGTCCGTGTTCTTAGATAAAAATCCTCTTAATATGATTATACCATCTGTAATGAATTTAAATTTAAACAACTTCATTTCAAGCGCTCTTGTAAAAAAAACAGATATGTATCTATCGGCTTATGACATCTAGCTTAAAATGCCAATGACAATTTTTTTAACTATCCAACAATCTCGGGGGAACGTCCTACTTGAGATCG